CTCCCCTCCACTGCATACTACTCCTGACCTCGGGATTGAATGCCACCAACCCCGTCCCTTCCAGCCCCCATCCAGATCCTAGTCCTTTCATAATACTGGTCCTTTCGAAAGGACCCGCCGAAATATTATTCGGAATTAATGAAGAACAACAGGAAAAGGCTCTGCCGGGGGGACAGTCCACCCCAACAGTGGCTGGACGGGTGGATGGTTGGATGGTACAAAAACACTGGCGGGGGAGAGTCGGGGCGTCTCACCTGGAAGTAGAGCACGATCTTGCAGAGGGCAGTGCCCATGAACCACGTCTCCGTCACGTCCCAGAGCACGGTGGGCGGCAGGCACATGAGGATGACGAGGAAGTCGGCCACGGCCAGGTTCACGATGAAGTAGTTGGTGACGGTGCGCATCGTGTGGTTGCGGTACACGGCCAGGCACACGAGCGCGTTGCCCACGAGGCCGCCGATGAACACGGCACAGTGCATGGCGATGATGACCCACTCCATCTTGGTGGGCATGATGTACTCGAGCATCATGTCGAGGTACTCCTCGTCCGGCACGCAGTAGTCGTTGGTGTAGTTGCGGCAGCTGTCGTTGAAGTAGGTGCCGTTCCAGCCGTCCGGGGCCGAGTCGTTGTCCAGCAGCGGGGGGCTCGTCACCGCCATCACCACGACGCCGATCTCCTCGACGAACGGCCTCTCCCTGGCCGACGGCGGCCGCGTCGTCGGCGGCGTCCGGGACGTGGCGTTAGAGGGCGGCTTCCTGTGCGGGGTGGGCGTGGTGAAGTGGTGGTGGTGGCCGGTGCGCGGGGTGCGCAGCGAGCCCCTCGATGCCGAGGCCGGGGTGCTGGGTGGCCCCGCCGCCGGCCTAAGCGCCGCCTCGTGCGGCGGCGACAGAGGCTCGACCGTCGCCGACGGGGAGGTGGCTGCCGGCCGAGGCAGGGTAGACGGTACGGTCCTCCACCGGGTGGAGGCCGTTGGCACCCCCGTGGTGGTCGATGGCAAGGTGAGCGAAGGCGCCGGGGCGGTCGAGACGCTGCTCGTGGACGATGCCAGAGGTCTCGGCGTCACCGAGGTTCTAAGCACCGTTCGATGCGGTGCCTGATGTGACGAGTTGACTGGCGCCTCCCACGTTGAGGGAGTCGTCGTAGTAGTCCTCGACGTCGGTGTCCATGCTGTTGCCAAGATCGTAGGAGACGGCCTATTTGTTGTCGTTGTGGTGGTGGTCGTCGACGTGGTCGAGGTTGGGCTTGTGCTCATGGTAGTATTAGCCTTCAATGTAGGCGGAGAGGGCGTCATGGACGTCAGCGCCGTGGTGGGAATCGGTCCGTAGCCGGGTATCGAGCCTTCTGTGGAGCCCGGGATGGCGGTGGAGGCCGGACTGCTTGTGGTAAAGCTCACGCTCGCGTTGGTGGTGGAGCTCACGCTCGTGTTGGTGGTGGAGCTCACGCTCGCGTTGGTGGAGCTAACGCTCGCGTTGGTGGTAGAGCTCACGCTCGTGTTGGTGGTGGA